CTTATGTATCAAGCCATATGCATTATTGAGTTTATTGTAAAACTTAACTCCTTGAAAACTTGAAACTATACAATATTGGGAATCATTTTGACACATGATCCAATACCTACATATGTTTTCTAACTATGAACGCTGGAGGCCATGTTTTCATGCTCAGAATGAAAATTACATTAGACTTATAGCAGCTCTAAATTCACTTTTGTCCACCATGTTGGTCAGCATTATTATTTATTGAGTACTGGGTGGGCGCAGAGGATGGCTTATATTGGATAGAAACTTTCCATTTTAAGATCTCAGATATAATCCACCTGCATGAAACATTGAAAGCAACTTATCTCCACCCTTTAGCAAAAATAAATTAAAAATAAAGTTTATTCTAGTACATTTCATGTGGAAAATCTTAGTTACAAAGAGTTCACCTGGCAATATTATAACCATAGACCTCTGTATTTCCCCCATTTTGTTTATGGATGAGAAAATAACCTAATATGATTTTCTTCCAGGGCTAAGTAATATGACTGATACTAATCTTATATTAAATTACTTTGCCATTTCATACAATGTAATGGAAAAATAAAAGTATCAACAAAACAATGTTAAAATTTTAGTTATTTTATAATCAAGACACATATAGCAGTAGTAAACATGTGTATTTGGGGAATCCTAAACCAAAACCAATTGGTGGGGAAAATCTTTCAGTAATCACCTCCCATTTGGAAATGTGCAACAGAAAGGTTTCCAATTTTAAACAAAATGTAATAAAATGCTATGGAATCAGACAGGAATCATTCCCATTTACGTGAAAATGTGGAGGATATTTCCCTTAGCAATTGATCACCCTGAGGCAAAACAATCAGTGAACATTCAATTGTCCATGGAAGTGAGGTAGAATCAGAAAGGCTTCAATCTGCAGCAGGAGGCAGCTTGGCTCCCATTACCACTGCAATGTCTAAGCTATTTCTATCCATTTGGAATTCTGTATTAAAATGCTTCGACTTCTTTCAGTGAATGAAATGTAGGTTTCTGCAAAGCTATAATGAAGCGATTGTGGAATTTTCTTTTCATCCACCCACCTCCCCACTCAGAAATGCAGTTACTAATGATGACATTTACATTTTCTTCAGAGGCAGTAAAACCACAACATCAAAGAATTCTTAGTTTGTAACCATTTTTTAGTCTTGATGCATATTTAAAGCCAGACTTAGAAGCAAGGGCCACCAAGAGTGCTTTCCTTGAAATGTATTTGTGATCTCGAAAATTTTTATGTAGCAAGTTCCTGAGTTGACATTACATCTTATATGCAGAGGTGAACGTGGTGGAACAATTTGGTTTCTTGGAAACTCTAAAAATGAATTAGCATTCAGCAGTAGCAAGTCAGGTTTCAGCTGCTCTAGGCATTTTGCTACTATTATAATTGACCACAGGTGATCAAGTGGATGGTAGGTAGAGCAATATTATAAAACAACACACATAATGAGGAGCTTATAGTAATTAAATGTTTGTTTTCGACACTAAACTTGAAATTTTAAAGTAGTTCAATTTGACATAGAAAAAGTTTGACCTAATAAATTCGTACAGTAAAATAAGAATCTAGCTGCCTAAACAAGCGAGGTTAAATCAGGACAGGGGACAGTGTTTGTATTTCAATATGAATGCAATGATGTATGCAATCTCTCCTTGCTAAAATTCAAGGTGACACTGTATTTCGCAACTATTTTAAATGGAATGCATTTTCTTTATTTAGATACATCATGCTTTTTCACATAAATATTTAATTAGAGTAAAATAAAGCTATTGAACATTTCCTTTATTTGCAGTGAGTTAGTGAGTGTTTCAGTCTTCATTGAATATGACAATTTCCTGGGGTTTCTACTCGCCAAAAGCTCATTCATTTTTAGTTCTCTAGGAGTAAATGAAAGAACTAAAGATTTTTCCTCCATAAGCCACCAGAAAAAAAATGAAGCATATGAGTGACAAATCAGGTTGACAAGATGAAAAAGTGACTTAACTTTTATCTGTTGCTGTCATTTAAAGTTTCTGCTTTCACTCTTATTAAGGGTCTTTCAGAAGAGGATCCTTTACAAATCCCACATATCCTGTTCTTTTATTCTTCAGTGAGCTTTTTATTTGCCCATATTAAAATGACATTCAGTTATTAAGTATTTATTCAGAAAAAGCATAATACTGTTTTAGAGGCTGCATGTTTGTGGATCTTTTCTTTTTTCTTTTCTGAGTCTATTTTAATAGTTACCACACTCGAGAAGAATGAAATTCAGTTCTGCTTTTTCTTTTTCTCCAGTTCCATTTCGTAAGTGAACCACGAAGGTCTATCATGATCATCCTTTCAGCACATTCACTCTGAGTCTGTTTCATTTATTACGGCTCCCTGTGGAAATCTGATTAGGTCAAGTATGACTACATTCATTTCTCTGAATTGGTTAGATTGTTTCCAATTCTTTCATCCTCAAAGTAGACTAGGTATGGAACAATAAAACCAGTACCTGTTCCCTTACTTGAATTTGAATGAACTTTCTTTTTATTTGGTCAGAAAATGATATTCTGACAATCCAATCAGAAATTTCTACTCATTTAGAAAATGCCCTAGGCAATAATATATATATGCACACACACACACACACACACACACACACACAACTCCTTTACACAACTCAGTGACTGTGGATTAAGGCCCCTTTTCCCCTACCACCTTACCCCATGACCCAACGATTTAAAATGCCATAAAGGTATGGCTTTCATCTGAAAATCTCTCCAGCCCTCTTACATACTGCCTCTGTTATCCTGTCTTCCCCATTCTTTCTGTACATCTGATTTTTATGGCCCTTAGACTTAGCAGTTAAGCTAATAATACTGGTGGTCACACAAAGCGGGCCTTGTGTCACAAAGTTCTGTACAACTGTAATTAAATGCCCTGTGTTTTCTGAATCACTGACTTCTATATGTTTCTAAACCTCTTCAAAACACGCTTCTCAAAAATCTAAATCTCTCTACTGCTAAATTTTATGTGTCAACTTGACTGAGTTAAGGGATACCATATAGCTGCTAAAACATTATTTCTGGGTGTGTCTGTGAGGATGTTTCTAAAACAGACTGTCATTTACAGAATCAGTAGATGCTAAAGAATTACGCCTTTGCTAATGTGCGGGTGGGGGGAATAATATAATCCACTGAAGAACCCAATCGAAGAAAAGGATGGAGGAAGTGTAAATTCACTTTTTCTTTTGGAGTGGAGACATCCATATGTTCCTTCTCTTAGACATCAGCACTCCAGGTTCATGTGTCTTAGAACCCTGAGACTTCCACCACTGGCTCCTCTGGTTCTCAGGCCTTCAATTCAGACTCCATTATGCCACTGGCTTTCAGGTTCTTGAGCGTGCAGATGGCATATCCTGGGATTTCCCAGTCTCCATGATCTCATGGTGGATTTCCATAGTAAATCTCCTCTTATAAAACTCTCTCTATATCCCATTGGTTCTGTTCCTGTGGAAAACTCCAATACAATAAATAATACTCTTTATTTTCAGAAGTTGTTTTACATTTTTTGAATAAAAACTTTGATTTATTTTAATATTCAGTTCTTAGATATTTAGCACGCGCATCTTAATAATGTGTTAATGTGTCCGAAATGAGTGACTTAACTATTGAGTGTTCTGATTTGTCCCATTATATTTGCTCTATCATCCTCAGTATACTGCGAGCTCTTTGAGAAAAGGAACAGTGCTTTCTATGATATTTTGTCAATTTGAAGTATGTTGCAACATTATAACAAATAACAAAATAAGGGAAAGTTACAGATATTGACTCTGGTTTATTATGCTCTGTATATGTGTAGGGAAATAGTCAAAAACATTGTCAACCTTAAAATAACTGCTATGTAAAGAACATTTATAATCATACCCCTTTATGAAGATTTTAAAATTTCTGATTAACAAAGACAATTGATTTCGTGTATTTAGAAAAAGTAAAGTTGCCATCCATGTTTAATCAAAGTCTACTAATCAATCACCTATTATGTGCCAGGCACTGGGATAGCTACAGTCCTTGGTGGGGGGCTAGAATATAATAAACATCTCCTCACTTAAGAGTTTACTCATTGTTCTTATCTATTAATCAGACATTAGCTTAAGTTTGCTCTTGTATTATTACTTATGTTATGCTACACATCAAAGATGAGAGGATTAGAGGCTGCATTTTCTTGCCTCGTTGTGCCAGGAAACTGCAATGCCATTTCCATCATTGGCTCTTTCATCCCACAGGCAGCGCCTGGCATGTCATACCAACTTCTCTTTAGGATGCTCTTTCTAATGAAGGATAATGAGATTCTGTAATGCAGCAAGTAGAATTTATGAATCGGCATCAAATAAGGCTTTGAAAGCAAACTAAAGACAAATCTCAGCAAGTCAGCTATTCATAGCCTGCCCCTGGAATTAAATCAGAAGCACTGAGCAACGTCTAAAGATTGTGAGCCAACTGTCTTTTACTGCTGACAAGATGCTTGGCACTAGGCTGCAAATCAAAAATTATCTTATTATGCATAATTTTTGAGGATGTTGCAAGATTGTACAAAAGAGTCAAAAAGGAACAACCATGGGCCCTCTTAGAGAAGTGTTTTTGACAGCACTAGTTCCTCATATTGTCATATATAAATAATTAAACTGTATAGCAAGTCATGGACATAAAAATAATCTCAAATTTTGCAGGAAGTTCCATGAAAGTTAATAATTCTCTTATTCTAACATTAGTGTATATTTTCATCTCTGTGTCCCACAATGAACCCATAATCTTCCTCTACCTCCAAACCCATTATTTATTCATAATGTTGTTTTCCTAGTTTTCTCTGATACCCCTCAGCCCAATTGTTACATATTCAGTAATGACTAAGCGAAGTTAATTCTGTTTCCTAAATATGTTACTCAGTTGTCCTCATCACTCTGCTTATCATGTCACTGCTTGACTTTATTCCCATCTTCCCTCTTATCTAGACCAAGGGAGGAGGCAACGGGCAGAGAGGAGGGAACAGAACAATGTCCACGTGGCTGAAATAAAGGATATGACAGAGGATTGGTGCAAGTTAAAGATGGAAGTGGAGATCTGTGGAGAAGGGCCTTGCAAGGTAAGACATCAAAATTTATCCTGAAATTGATGGAGAATAAATTAGTAAATACCGTTATCAGAAAACAAAACTACTGTGGTGGCAATGAGTTGTTAGAGAAGGCATGTACACAGAATCTTGAGCCCCCAACATATCAATGTCCTAGTCTCTGAAACCTGTGAGTACGTTCACTTACATGGCAAAAGGTTAAAGAGCTTGAGACATGGAGATATCCTGGATTGTCCAGGAAGACCTCATGTAATTACCAGGACCCAGTATAGTTACAAGGGTCCTTATAAGGAAAACAGTCAGACAGGAGGCAGAGCACAAAGTGTGATGATGGAAACACACATGGGGCGGCGGGGAGAGAGACCGAGAGGGAGGAGGAATATTTGAAGGTGTTATCCTGCTGACTTTGAAGACGAAGGAAGAGGTCACGAGGCAAGGAATGCAGGTGGCTTCTAGAGGCTGTTAATAAAAGAAAATAAACTTTCTCTAAGAGGCTCCAGAAAGAATACATCCCTGCTGACACCTCGATTTTAGCCCGGTGAGACTCATTTTGGACACTGACCTTCAAAATTATGAGACAATGCATTCTTATTAAGCTCCTAAATCTGTGGTAATGTGTTACGGCAGCCATACAGAAGGCAAAAAAGGAATGGGAATGTGGAGAGGGTAGTTTTCTGGGGATAGCATAACAGCGCTTTAGTAATAATTGCAGCCGTTCAGAAAAACTCCGGTTTAGAAAGCAAAGGGAAACTTAAGCATTATTTTTGAATCAGGTGCCTTAGAAAATAAACAAAATAGGCCGGGCGCGGTGGCTCAAGCCTGTAATCCCAGCACTTTGGGAGGCTGAGGCGGGTGGATCACGAGGTCGAGAGATCGAGACCAACCTGGTCAACATGGTGAAACCCCGTCTCTACTAAAAATACAAAAAATTATCTGGGCATGGTGGCGCGTGCCTGTAGTCCCAGCTACTCAGGAGGCTGAGGCAGGAGAACTGCCTGAACCCAGGAGGCGGAGATTGTGGTGAGCCAAGGTCGCACCATTGCACTCCAGCCTGGGTAACAAGAGCGAAACTCCGTCTCAAAAAAAAAAATAAATAAAAAAGAAAAGAAACAAAGTATCTGACACATTTTAAATAATTATGCAGTTAGGCACTGACACAGATTCTATGCATAAGACCCTGTACTTTCTAAGACATTTTTCTTATTTTGTAGGAGAAACATAAACATGGTGAAAAGGCAATCTGATACTATTAATATAAAACTTAATGCAGTAGAAATTTAATAATGAATTACATCTTTTTTAGAACATGAAAGGTTGCTTCTTGTTAAATCAAATATCACTAACCTTTGCATAATCTTGGATAATAATATAACTGAAGATACTTGTGCCTTCATTCTAGTCCCCAAATATATGTTAAGAGTAACAAAATGTAGTGAGCATTTAAATCATGTGCTCCACATCATTACTTCATGTCTCAGTGGCTATTAGAAAGTAGAAACTGAATGGAGTAGACCTATAGATGTATGTGTGTTGGAGAAGTAATAGATTTTTTATTGGCTGTATCTAACACTGAAATAAAAATAGTTCATAACATATTAGGCACCTAAAACCATTTTTCAAGGCAAACCATTTTGCATCTGAAGAAACTTAGACCCATAAAGACTAAACAACCCACTTTGATGACATACCAATAAGGAATGAATCCAGGATGTAGGGCCTTTTGTGTGGGCATCAAGGCCTGGTCCCTAGTCTCAACCTGTACACTGTAAAACTCACAGTCATACCTTATGTACTGTTAGGATATTGACATTTTGCATTGGTGAGCAACTACACAATGAGTACTGTAAGTTTACTCACTGTCTTAATGGCTGCCTAGTATTTAATGCAGTATTATTATTGCTTAACGTTTGGCTTGCTTACAGTTTTCTTCCTAATGACCAGTGCTGCAGTGATCATCCCTCTAAGTGAATCTTTATACATTTTATTTACCTTTCATGCCTAAAAGGGGAATTTGCAAATTAATTGTGAGTATGGTTTGAGACTTCCACTAGGCAGTACTAAATCGACCTCTAGAAGAGGCTTGCTGGTTCTGTGAGTGTTTAAAGGTTTCCTTCAATAATGATTCTACAATAGAGAATGGCTTTATAATCACTTGTAATAATAAGTTCACAGGGATTCAGTCACCCGTCCATCTTTCCTCTGGTCACATGGATGCATTTCTGACATAGCCAAACCTATTAGTTGATATATTTTGTGAACACTGAATTTGAAATTAAATAGTGGCATCTGATATTTCACTAAATTCAAAGAAACACTTAAGTTACAGAGAAGGAAACTTTCTGCTATTCCCAAGGTAATTATTAAAATACCAAATATGTTAAGGTCAGAGCCTACTCAATTTAACGAGGTGTTAACATGCTCTAAAAAATAGTCTGATTAGAACTACCGTTGGGTTAAGCTTTCATGCCTCTGGGAGGTGGGTCTGCTTTGATTTAAGTCAGTTTTTCTCTTCTTGCCAGAAAGTTACTCAAAATAACCTTTCCTCCTTATTCCATTTTCCTCCTTCTTCCTTCTAGTTTTGCATAAGTTCTAGAGGATAGAAGTGACCACATTTTGAAAAAAGAATACATATGCTGAACTTAATGATAAATGTACTATCTGTAATTCTTTCAGTTTCATTCTGCATTGCTACAGCTTTTGCTTTCTCTTTATTTCTAAAAGATTTGGAGTAATTGCTTTACTCATTAAAAATGGCTTAACTACCTGTTAATTATTATACAGTCGTCTTCTTTATATGAATGACTTAACTGAAATCCTTCATAAAAAATGAGCTCAGGAATTTCAGGAAACAATCTCCATGTTTCAGTCACAGTAATCAGCTTAGTATACATACACAAACACACACAGACACCTACACACACACCCCACATTTATTCTTTATTCATTGATTCACTTTTCACAGAACAAAAGCTTATTGATCAGCTATGATATGCATGGTACTATAGGAGATAAAAATTATAACCTATAGTCCTTGCTTTTAATTAGTCCAAATGAAGAAATAAGAAATTTACTGTCAGGTGTCATGTAACTAGTTAGCACATTTGCTACAAAGAGAATAAAATACCTGGGAATACAACTAACAAAGAACATAAAGGACCTCTTCAAGGAGAACTACAAACCACTGCTCAAGGAAATGAGAGGGGACACAAACAAATGAAAAATTGTTCCATGCTCATGGACAGAAAGAATCAGTATCATGAAAATGGCCATACTACCCAAAGTAATTTACAGATTCAATGCTATCCCCATCAAGCTACCAATGACCTTCTTCACAGAACTGGAAAAAACCACCTCAAACTTCATATGGAACCAAAAGAGAGCCCGAATAGCCGAGTCAATTCTAAGCAAAAAGAACAAAGTGGAAGGCATCACACTACCAGACTTTATACTACAAGGCTACAGTAATCAAAACAGCATGGTACTGGTACCAAAACAGAGATATAGACCAATGGAACAGAACAGAGGCCCCAGAGGCAATACAACACATCTACAATGATCCGATCTTTGACAAACCTGACAAAAACAAGCAATGGGGAAACGATTCCCTGTTTAATAAATGGTGTTGGGAAAACTAGCTAGCCATGCACAGAAGGCAGAAACTGGACCCCTTCCTGACACCTTACACTAAAATTAACTCCAGATGGATTAAAGACTTAAACATAAGACCAAACACTATAAAAACCCTAGAAGAAAATCTAGGCAAAACCATTCAGGACATAGGAGTAGGCAAGGACTTCATGACCAAAACACCAAAAGCATTGGCAACAAAAGCCAAAATAGACAAATGGGACCTAATCAAACTTCACAGCTTCTGCACAGCAAAAGAAACAGTCATTAGAGTGAATCGGCAACCAACAGAATGGGAAAAAATTTTTGCTCTCTACCCATCTAACAAAGGGCTGATATCCAGAATCTATAAAGAACTCAAACAGATTTATGAGAAAAAAAACAAACAAACCCATTCAAAGGTGGGCGAAGGATATGAACAGACACTTTACAAAAGAAGACATATATGAGGCCAACAAATATAGGAAAAAATGCTCAACATCACTGGTCATTAGAGAGATACAAATCAAAACTACAGTGAGATACCATCTCACACCAGGTAGAATGGCGATCATTAAAAAATCTGGAGACAACAGATGCTGGAGAGGATGTGGAGAAATAGGAACACTTTTACACTGTTGGAGTGTAAATTTGTTCAGCCATTGTGGAAGACAGTGTGGCGATTCCTCAAGGACCTAGAAATAGAAATTCCATTTGACTCAGCAATCCCATTACTGGGTATATATCCAAAGGACTATAAATCATTCTACTATAAGGACACATGTACACGAATGTTCATTGCAGCACTGTTTATGATAGCAAAGACTCTGAACCAACCCAAAAGCCCATCGATGATAGACTGGATTGGGAAAATGTGGCAGATATACACCATGGAATATTATGCAGCCCTCAAAAATGATGAGTTCATGTCCTTTGTAGGGACATGGATGAACCTGGAAACCATCATTCTCAGCGAACTGACACAAGAACAGAAAATCAAACACTGCATGTTCTCACTCATAGGTGGGTGTTGAACAATAAGAACACCTGGACACAGGAGTATCACACACTGGGGTTTGTCGGGGGAAATAGGGGAGGGACAGCTTGGGGTGGGGAGTTGGGGAGAGATAGCATGGGGGGAAATGCCAGATATAGGTGATGGGAAGGAAGGCAGCAAATCACACTGCCATGTGTGTACCTATGCAACAGTCTTGCATGTTCTTCACATGTACCCCAGAACCTAAAATGCAATTTAAAAAAAAAGAAAGAAATTTACTCTAACAGTATGCAAAGTGAAATAGAATTCCATATTATAAGATTGCCTATGTCCTTTTATAAGTAAATCTCTATACTTTTAAATAATGAAAAATTAAAGGCATATAGAGGCATAATCAAAGATGTGGAGG